AAAAACTACTCAAACCAGCATTAACAAATAAAACCACACAAATCAGGAAGTGGAATTCTCCAACAGCCCATCTTTCTGTTACAACTCCTAATTCCAAACCAACACACACACACACCCCTGATGAGGACTGAGAAAAGTAAACAAAAACAGGTAGACTATAGAGGGGGATCAAAACTTGGAAAGCAAACCATATGAGGGTGAGTTTCCAATTTTATTTTGTGTTTCCCCCTTTTCTGGCTTTGTCCTGACAACAGGCCCCAGTTTTGGAGACATACACATGGCTAAAACTCAAATAGAAACCCCACTGCATTTCTGACTCAAGGAATCGTGGAAGCTGGAGAGTGTGGGGGAAATCCTGAGGGGAAAAGAGCTGAAGAGTCCCCATTTCTGACTACGAACACTCACAAGTCTAGCTTTAACTTCTAAACTATGCATCTCTGAGATGCATCCAAAAAAGCATAGCAAATGCTTAGAGAACTGAGAACTGAATTACTACTTTGACAAGAGAGGGAGAGCTGATGAAAGATGAGACTGAACTTATAATTTGAACTAACAAGGTTGAATGCCTACTAAAACAAAGCTATCAATACTCTCCAGCTGACTACAACAGAACCTAAAGTCTACATATCATAACATTCCACTGTCTAGAATATAATCCAAAATCACCTCACACTCAAAGAACAAGGTCATGTGACTCCTTATGGGGTGGGAGGAAGAAATCAACAGATACCAATGCCAAAATAAAGCAAATGCTTAAATCAGCAAAGACTTTAAAGCAGCTACACTAACTATGTCCCATGAAGTAAAAGAAAAACACATATAACATGAATTGAAAAAAAAAAAACATAAACAGAGAAATAGAAACTATAAAAAGAAACTATAAAAAACAACTAAAAGTAAAAAGTAAACACACACACACACACACACACACACACACACCCGACCCCCCCACCCCCCCATGAAATCAGCTAAGAGAAAAAAGATATAGTGAGTAGTAGTTTCCTGGGGGACGGGGGATAAGGGTGGTGGGGAGAAGTGTTAACCTTTCTACTCATCAGTTTTCACATTTGTAA